ACTACTACTTGTACTACTACTACTACTTGTACTACTACTGCTACTGCTACTGCTACTGCTACTGCTACTGCTACTGCTACTGCTACTGCTACTGCTACTACTACTACTACTACTGGTACTACTACTACTACTACTACTACTACTACTACTGGTACTGGTACTGGTACTACTACTACTACTACTACTAGTACTACCACCACCACCACCACCACTACTACTACTACTACTACTACTACTACTGCATTGACCCTTCCGAGAGACGCAGTATTGGCGTCGGACCAACTGGAAACGCGTACAGACTCCTGGAAAATTTTTGTTTGGTGAAAAAACCTAGTCAGGAAACCAGACTAGCAGGGATACGAGTAGGGCAGGGATATGGGTTGTTTCCTTGGTCTCATTGAAAGCTGCCCTGGTGAAATAGTTTCTGTTTATCGTATACTGACAATGAGGTTGCTCATTCCCCGAGAATCGGTGTAAATAAGTAGCTCCAAATCGGATAAGTATATGGAATTTGCATATCTATATGTATTTCTTTCTTTCTTTGTTTCTTTCTTTCTTTATTTATTTATTGATTTATCTTTCTCTCCCTTTATGTATATGTATGGTGTATATGTTTTGATTCATCAAAGCACACCTGAAAATCCTCCACTTTATCTTAAAAACAATTTAGTGATGTTTTACATCCCCACAAAAGATACGATTTTTGTCACCGTTTTCCTCCAAGACAATCTATTGTGTTTTCCGATCCATGCCAGGCCGACCCAAGGATTCCACAGCTGAGGCCAAATAAGCTTTGGTGAAATCCCTAACTGCAGCAACATTTTATTTTTACAAATCCTTCGATAGGTTGCTGCAAAGCCAAGCGCTGGAAACCCCGTTGAACTTGTCGAATTTGACCTTGACCTGGCCCTGCACCAAAGATTTCCCAAAACCTTCTCCGGGACCTTCTCTACAACCTTCTCCGGAACCCATTGAACCTGACTTGGCTTTGCTCCAAGGCTTCCTGGAACCTTCTTCGGAACCTTCTCCGAAACACTGTTGAACCTAACTCTGCACAAACATCTCCCAGAGCTTCTGACTGGAACCTTCTCCGGAATTCTGTTGAACTTGACCTGGCTCAGCACCAAAGCTTCCCGGAACCTCGGAACCTTCTCCGGAACCTTATCCGGAACCGGTTGAATCCGACGTGGCTTTGCACCAAGGCTTCCTGGATCCTTTGCGAACCCTGTTGAACCTGACGTGGCTCTGCACCACAGCCTTCCAGACCTTCCGCGGAACCTTCTTCGGAACACTGTTAAACCTGACCTGGCTCTGCAGAACCTTCTCCGGAACCTTCTTGGGAACCCTGCAGAACTTGACCTGGCTTTGCACCCAGACCTTCTTCGGAACCTTCTTCACCCTGTTGAACCTGGTCTGGCTCTGCACCAAAGCCCCCTAGACCTTCTCCGGAACCACCGGTATATTCTCCGAAACCTTGTCCTTCTCCGGAACCTTCTCCGGAACCCTGTTGAACCTGACCTGGCTCTGCACCGAAGCCTCCCGGAACCTTCGGAATCTTCTCCGGAACCTCGTTCAACCTGATCCGGAGCCTGCACCAGAGCATACCGGAGCTAGACTGGGCTGAAGACCCCATTAGCCTATGCTGTTGCAAAAAAAAGGATTTTGGTTGTAGGTGCATTGGAAAGTAACATCCCAAATTATGTTTCCGGAAATGGGGGTACGCCGCATTGACCCAATATGAAACGGACAATGTATATTGTTTAATTATAATTATATATACAAATTATAGTTGTTACCCAAACCAAAACGCATTATTTGGAGGTACCACCATTCTAGGAAACCACCATAATCTAACATACCTATTTGCAATCTGTGTCGAAGTTTCCAACCCAATCACAATCTTTGAATGAATGGCTATTTGGATGTAGCAGTGGCTACCAATTGCCATCTGACATTTCCCGGATCCAGCAGGAGCGACCCATGGGTTTCGCACTCCAATCCCTTGTTGGCATGTGGTGTTGCTGCCCGGGTTTCCTTGACGCAGTTTGGCTGAAGGAGGGTGGGCTGGGCCCGCCCCTCCCGGGACGGATGAAGCCGAGGGTTTCATGGAAGGCGTGCGCATTGCATCCAGTCTGATCCGGTGGGTGGCAGTAGGTCCAGATTAGGTATCAGGGGTTGCGGGAGGCTGGTTTCAAGGCTTTGTAGGCATCTTTGGGTTTTAATTCGTGGGGAATTGCAGAGGCAATCTGGAAATTCCAGCTTGTGTTTGAATGCACGTCACTTAAAATTCGCCAGGCAGTGGGTTCCAGCGTGCCCGGTGCAGGTGGTTTGCCTGTTCTTGATCAGCTCTTCTCTCGCCGCAACCGATCAGCCACAGAATGCAAAGGATCCGCGCTACTTGGGGTTGTGCAGTCCAGGGACTTGAAGAGATATTTCCATTTTTCGTGGTGTCTTACACGTTTTAGAAGAGAGGAACCTGTGGTCCTTTCGGTTTATAAACATAACTATACTATACCCACATCGTAGATCATTGTGGCACATCCTACTTCAGGCTTCTAGCTGGAATTTATGGGATTATTGTCGTAAAAAAAATGTTTCCTCCCCAAATGCCGACCTTTCCAATGGGCAGTTCCCAACTGTTTAGGAGATTCGCAAAAGTTGCTGCAGCATCAAAAGCTGCAGGTGGATATGGATGGGCCATGCTTTGCGGGCCGGGCCTTCACGGAAGATTCTTAAACAGTTCGTGCAATCATATATATCTATATATATATATATCTATATATATATAATATATATAATATATATATATATATTGAAAAATTGAAATGTTGCTGACTTCTCTGCCATCACTGGCGTCGGATCAAGGCAGCGGATCTACGCATTCGGCCTGTGACTCGAAGGATTCCAATTTCCTGTGCAAGACAAGGTGTTGAATCCATGTTTCAAACCTATGTTTGCCTGCCGATGTCCGTGTGTTTTTGACATATTTTACGATGTATACATAGTATATACATATATGTGTTTAGTTATATATACATATATACAGTATATGTTGTTTCGAAGCGAAAAATGCAAACACTTAAATCGCTCGAAAAAATGTGTCAAGCACGTGGTATACCTTTTCCCACAAAATGCGACGGTATACGCTAGTCCGTATAAGTTTCACTTTGCATACGTGCCTATATTGTGGAAAGGAAGGATGACCTGTGGTGGCTTGGCGCGTTTCGTTCCCGCTCCTGCTACGACCATTTTTTTTGGGTCTTCATCGGCATGCCCGCTCGCCGCTTCCGTGCGCGAAGGTGTCTATGTTCGGATGTTTTTCCGTGCAATTACGACCTTTCTAAAATGCCAGGTATTTTTTCCCTTGCGTGCGCGCGTCGCAGGTTCGCGCTGCGTGAATTAGTGCCATTCTAACGCCTGGGGTTGCCCTGTTGGTATGCTATTTCCAAGCAGCGTCCGTGCTGTCACGTCCATGTTAATTCGATACAAATAAACTCAGCCTGAATACGCGCGCTATTATACCTGCGAGTGAGGACAGAGACGTCTTCAAATAAGCGCTGTAGGAGGGGATGGGAACCGATGTGCACGTCTACGTTTCAACGGCAACCTGCTGCTTTGCTGCTGTGTATCATACATTTTTATGCCTTTGCTCTTGTCTCCAATTCCGCGTCATGCGCATGCGTCTCGGGCTGTCTGCGTTTTCAGGTATACTTTTCCTTTTGTGCTTCGATAGCGATGACGGTTCTTCTTGTTATATGCTCCCCGTCCTTCTTTCTACTAAGATGGACCGTCGCATATTCGCCCAACATAAGTGTAGCATGTTTCGTAGTTTCTCCAACCAAACCACGAATTTTCCCAACAACATAACGCGCCGCCTCGCGCAAAATATCCTCAAAAGACTACCGATAACCGAGATATTTTTCACATGCCGTTTTCATGTGGCCGATGCCCAAACATGTTATTTTATTACGCGCAGAAATTACCTATAGTACGGTAGAACTGTATATATATACATATTTCTACATGTATAGCTATATCTATAGGATGTACATACATGCAATTTAATGTCTATTCTTTTTCAGAGGTACATTAGACAGTCAGGTCACCGATGTATTGAAGTTACTCCATTTTAAAGATTTGCAAATGTCACGGCGCAACATCCAGCGCCGAATCAGACACATTCACCCAGTTCGGGTCATCGGCAAAGCTTCCTTTTTTGTCTCCAGTGGCGGCAGGTTTGCACACACACACATATATTTATTTATATTATCGAAGGAAGTTTAGAAGTCAAACTTCCGACAATATGGACAGATGAAAAGTAGAGATGGGAAGAGTCACAGTCACAGAGAAGAGAAGAGTAGAAGAGAGAATGTCAGAGAAGAGAAAGAGTCAGAAGAAAGAAGATGCAGATGCGCGAAAAGGTAGGAAAGTCGCGAAACACTGTGTTTTTCCAATGATTTGTGGCTCCGAAGGGTCGAAAAGTAGGCTCGCTAAAGCGGCGGGTGCGGAGCCAGCTGGCCAGATGAGAGATGAAAAATTGCACGTCGTTGTGGCGCGAAGCACGTTTCGAAGTCAAAATGTACAAAACACACCAGCTCCGGACCACTTTTGGCAGTTGAGATGTCGAAAAAGTGTACGCCGTTGTGGCGCGAAGCACATTTCGAAGTCAAAATGTTAAAAAGACCAGGGGTTCGGACCACTTTTGGAAGCTCAGATGTCAAAGTGACATGCAGCAAAGTGAAAATTAAGCTGCGAATGGAAACCTTCGAGATACATCTGGAGCACCTCATATGGAGCTATTGTACCTGTGCGTCAAGCACCGTGACAATAGCTTCCATCTTCGTGGAAAGAACTGGAAAGAACTATCCTTGTCCCTAAAGATCCTGACTCCAAACTGCATCTATGATTAGTGATCGCTATAGATCGGCTTGTCCAAGATTGTGTTCCTACCACAAATGAACATGCAAGCTGTTTTCTGCTTGACTCATCCGACCATGAAATCAACTTTCAAGCTTCTTCACTATGTTCGCAACATCCTTCGGCATGCTTCCATAACCGAACTGCTCGCTCCAGGTCCATCTGTACTTCAAACACGCAACTGCTGCAACATTGTGACCGCAGGCTGTCCAGGAGATGCACTTCTGCGTTCCGGTTGGAACCCACGTCATTCGCCAGCGGCCGTTCGTGTCATCAGCCCATGCCCGTGCCTGTCGTGGGAGAGAAGCTTTCAAAGCTTTGTCAGCATCCACATTTCGGTCAGCATAGACACGGGCCCTCTCTTTGGCATCTGCAGCTGCTTTCTTGGACAAATCATTTTCCTCCTTTTCTTTTGCCTTGCGGCGTTCCTGGCCACTCTTCAGGCGATCCTTCGGGAGCGCAGACAAAGCTGCCTTGTACTTCTGAGACAGATGGCTAGTCAATTTTGCCATCTTGGATGCTTTCTGTGTCTCCTCAGCTATGTCGTTGATGACCTTGCGTTGTTCACTGGGCAACAAGCAATCCACCACAGTTTCGACTAGCTCTTCTTCTTGGACATGAACAACTTCCCTCAAGCCATTACAGCGCCTCATAGCTCGAGTTCTGCCTTCCCTTTCTGTGAGAGATGGGTCCAAGTTCAGCATGAGGTGCACGGACAGCGCTAGCTCTGCATCGCCATCATCAGTGCCCCATGTCACGCCACGAAAGCCCAGAGCAGCGTTGAGCTTCAGCAAGCAAGCTTCTTTCACCCCATGGAATCCGCGCTCTGCATGCCACTGAAGCAAAGGCAAGGTAGACCCAGCCAGAAGGCAGACACCCTTGTTCTTCAAACATGTCTCACTCATTGCCCTGGGGCAACGAGCAATCACACTGGCAACTTGCACATCTACGATGTCGTGGATGTGCACCCAGCGCAGGCACTCTTCATTCTCATCGAACTTGATTGCTCCAGCATCGGACAATGTCACCGGCCACACTAGACAAGCATGCTTGTATGTTTTCAAGACATACAATGGGTAGTTGCGAATGAAGACAATGGCACCTTGCGGTACCAATCCCGTGTGCCAAGCAGTTTCAATATCTTGCCACTGACCGGAAGCTGCGACCTTGTGAAGCAATGAAAAATCTGCTCAGCGCTGCTGCTCTGTTTCTGGAGTGTGAGTTGGCCACTCCAGCTTGCCCGTGATATCTTTCACCAAGTTCCAATCAAGCTTCTCTTCCTCAGAGGCCTCCCGTGAAGCATGGTGCTGGAAAACCGGCGATAGATCGAAGCCTGCAGGAGTGTGCTTCAGACGTTTGTTGGACACCTCTGGCCGATCATATGAATGCAACAAAGAGGGCTGCATCAAAAGGAACCAGCCTTGTTCTGGAGACACCTTCTTCGAATTGGAGGAGCGCGTTTCTTCTTCTCTTTGCAACTTGTTGCCATCCTCAATGATCTTCGAATTTAGCAGGCAAGAAAAGATCTCTTGCAAGTAGTCTAGCAGAATGTCCGGCACGGACCCGAAGCCAGTTGAGGACAGGGCCTTGAACACCCACTGCATAGCAGGAGTCGTAAAACAATGCCCTCGCAGGGCTTGCTTGGCTGCCAAGGACCCGTCCTGGTTCACAATTTCCATTGTCTTGAAAGCCCCGCGCAAGTACAGCAAGGAAGCGGCAACCTTGGCTGTGTCAGGGTGGAGCAAGCCAGCCGTGCTACCTGCACCGCTGGTGTACCACAAGTTGCTGCCACCGCGGCGACTCAGCAAACTGGCCATGAATTTCCACAAAGTTGCCGCCAACGCATCTTCTGTGACCAAAGCCTCTGGGCTAAAAGTGCCACTGAACTGAACGTTGAAGCCAATCAAGTTGAGCAAGGACAGGTCGGAAAGGACAGCTAATGTGTTTCGAGCGGTGCTCAACCACGACCAGTGGCTCCACCGAGCATAGAACTCTCTGGTCTGCCCAGCTGAACGCATATTCTTGAACATCATGCCAGTTGCCAAGCTCTCTGGTTCAGAGACATACGCAATGATGCGAGCGGTTGCTTTCATATCAGGGTCAAGCAACAACTTCGTCATCAGGTGCAAGCTGTTGCGTGAACGCTTTCGCAGCTGGTCGAGATCCTGCTTTGCTGCGTCCTTGGCCTTCGAGCGCGAGACCCTGGCCCCCGCACTGCTGTTGGGACTGCGCAATTTGCACTGCTAGGCTCCTGGTTCACCTTCTCCTAGACAGCTCGATCCTGAGCACAGCCAGCTGGGCTCCATAATTCATCCGCGTGGTTTGCCCAGCCCTGGAGCAAACAGCACGCAGCAAACACACAGCCCTGCGATGACCACATGCGATCTAGCCACTGATGAGCATGCACAATGCTGAAGAAGCGGTTCTGCGACGCCTTAGGCCCTTTGTTGGTGATGCACGGTAGCGTCGGAAGGCTCTGGAGAAACTCTTTTCTTTCCTGCTCTGTGTTCTCTGACTCATCTCGCCTAGAGTCTGCTAGAATTGCGGGAAAGAACTTCTGCAACAATGGGTCATTGGGTCCCAGCTGTTGGCTTAAAGTCTTTGCTGTCTCCTGTACCCGAGCAAACCAACCTGACTTGTTCCATGGACCATATTTCACATTGTACACGTTCAGCAAAATCATGGCTGTCTTTGCAAGGTGGGAATCGGAAAGTGCTCCCCAGGTGTCATTCCAGCATCTGTGCCCTGGGTCCTTGATATGTTCAATGAACAGCCGCCGGTGGTGCCTGGCAAAGTTCAAAGCGGCGATTTGCACACTTTCCTGGTCACTGCAGACCACAAGGGTTCGTGGCTTTTTGAGGGGAGCTTCATCAGCAAGCAGATCCTCTTGTCCACCGAAGTCACGGAGCCTTTTTCCTGCTGATTGCAATGCATGGTTGATATCTTGAAGGAAATGCTGGGAAGCTAGCCGATCAGGAGGGGTTTTCCGACGAACTCTTGTAGCAGCAGCTGGGTCAGCCACCTTCCTTGTTCAAGCTTCGTGCCAATTGTCCACGGTCAATTTGTTGAGACTCCGCTGCACCTGACGACTGCCAGGAAAAGGTAGCGGGGCGAAAAACAAATAGTGCCGGCGCATCTTTTTGGTGATGCTATTCGGGAAGCGGGGATGCGGGGGGAAGAGGGCAAGCGGGGATACGGGTGGAAAAGTCCGGAAGCGGGGATACGGGAGGAAGCTTCGCAATAGAACGTATCATGACAGGAAGCGGGGATACGGGAGGAAGCTCTCCAAGCGGGGATATGGGAGGAAAACTTAACCTTACAAATACGGGGATCATGTCTGAGCGGGGATGCCCGAGGAAAGCGCATCAACACGGAAAAAACGCTCTAGTGCGCTGAAGCTGATGATGGAAGAGGGTTATTGCACGGCTTTTCCACCAAAACGTGAGGAACTTGCAACCACACAAAATTCAAAAACCGCATGAATTTTCCAATGGTCCAGCCTGAGGCGGGCACACATAACCCACAGCTCTGTCGGCATTCCACAGGATACAGCTCAGACAGTCTGAGTCACCAATGTGCACAGCATCGCACGTCAAGCCAATGACACCAGCATCACTGAAGACCTGCTTGCCTTCTTGCATGTAGCTCCATCGTTCAGCTGCTGTATATTGTGCAGGGTTCTTGGCACTGTTTTTGACTTCTTTCTGAGTTTTCACACCCTGCCCTGTCATGAGGGTTGCAGATGCCAAAACTGTTGCCACACTCCGCATGTGTGGCTGCGAAGTCGCTTGGACAACAGAAGCCCGAAATCCATGTGAAGGTTTCCGGTAGCCACGGATAGTCCTGCCTAAGGTACGACATGACGGTTCTGATGTCGCATGCCTGCCGCGAAACTGCTGTGACATATCTATGTACAATGTGACTTTAGATCAAAATTCCACTGGCATTTGTGCAAAGGGTCCTGAAAATATCTCATATAATGTCTGGGACCCAGGAACGGTAGAGTGTGTCTGATACCAGGTAGTGCCCGGGACGCGCCGGTGCGGACGTTTCGAAAATAGGATACGGCTATAGGAAACCGTTTGCTTATAGGAGTTTTGGGTGAGTTGGAACGAAGCGAATTGAAATGAGATGAAGTGAAATGAAAGGAAACACAAATGAACGAATGAACGAGTGAATCAACGAATGAATGAGGAAACGCAAGGAAATGGTATAAAATGAAATGAAAATCCAATGAAAATTCTGGGTAGGGAATTGTGAGCATCACTTGAGCGTTGTTCTAGCGTCGTTTGAGCGACGTTTGAGCCCGTTTATAGGGTGAAATGTGCACAGCGTATAGACATGACCAAAGCGAGGGAATATAACAAGTTTGGCAGGAAGGACCTTGTGGGAGAGAAAAGATAACCTGAACTAGCAGCATCGGCAATGCCTAAAATACCCTGGCCACAGCTTGGAAAATGACGATAAAAGGTATCCTGTGTACAGTATCTTGATCATGCAGTGCGAGACACGGAACAAATCCTTTCATATATTCAGATCCTCATACAAATGGCTTCCCACAAGAGATCCCAACATTATATACCCCACCTAGTCGATTTCTAGAAGATACTTTACACAGGATACCTTTTATCGTCATCTTCCAAGCTGTGGCCAGGGTATTTTAGGCATTGCCGATGCTGCTAGATCAGGTTATCTTTTCTCTCCCACAAGGTCCTTCCTGCCAAACTTGTTATATTCCCTCACTTTGGTCATGTCTATACGCTGTGCACATTTCACCCTATAAACGGGCTCAAACGTCGCTCAAACGACGCTAGAACAACGTTCAAGTGATGCTCACAATTCCCTACCCAGAATTTTCATTGGATTTTCATTTCATTTTATACCATTTCCTTGCGTTTCCTCATTCATTCGTTGATTCACTCGTTCATTCGTTCATTTGTGTTTCCTTTCATTTCACTTCATCTCATTTCAATTCGCTTCGTTCCAACT